TAAAGGGAAAAAGAGTAAGGAGTATAAAACGACGACGTATCGAAACGTTCTTGTTTTTGTGTGGGAAAGCATTTCTTTAATGTTTTTTGTTTTTGGTATTTGAATGTATTTGCAGAAAAGCACACACATATGAGAGCCATGAGATGGCAAAAATATTTGTAATGGGAAATTGGCTAAAATAATTAAAAAAAATGTTATATTTCATTAACTAACCAAATGGTCTTAGTCTAATAATTATTATTTCTCCACATCATATTATTTTCATTAGATTGCTAATATAATTATTTTTTTGGTTATTGTTGCAAATCACCCTATCCATTTTTCGATAGGGAAAATCGCATAAATTGAAAGCCATCACTTTTTAAAACAGAAAGGACCAATTTCGTTCACTTTGGTGGTTTACAGTGTTAATAATGTTAGATTGGAAGTTTAAAATGTTAGTTAAAAACTTTGAATAATTAAAAGTGTTAGTACGTATCATTTTGAAATTTTTTTGGGATATTTACAAAAATGTTATTTTTTGTGTCCACATTTGCAAAAATATCATTTTTGGTGTCTATTTGCAAAAATGCAACTAATTATGATTTTTTAGAGCCTAAATCTTAAAATTATAAACCCTAAAAATTCTTTTGATCCCTAAAATCCCTAAAACCCTCAAAACTAAACCCTAATACAACATAATTAACTCAAATATAAATAATATAATGAATAAATAATTTTGAAAAAATAGCATTTTTGTAAAGATTGTACAAAAGTGGCATTTATGCAAAATATTCATTCAATAACGGTTGAAGAAAACGAAACACATTGTTTAAATAAAAAAAACTATTTTTACATAGGCAAAAATACTAAATATTTAAAAATCGTTTACAAAATTAAGTGGAGAACTATTATAGAAAAAACATAAGAAACAAAAACTTCAAAATGAATCGTACGATTTAGGCTTAGTTAATTTTACCTTTTTACATAGTTTTTTTCATTGTTTCACTAATTAGTAAGAAGCGGATTAGACGAACGAATGTTCAATTTAAACTGTGGAAATCTGGCTAGTTTTATACTAGTTGATTTCGAAAATATGTTAATTCAAAAAAAAAAAAAAACATTGCGGATCAATGATACCACAAAGAGAAAATCGATATATGCTTTGAGTTTGGTCATGAGTCTCATGACACAACACAAGCTTAAGAGCTTTCACAAATTTAATGCATAATTGAGTCATTTACCCAACAAATTAAGTACTATAAACATATATTTGAATGAATTAATGAATCATGTAACAAACGAGTGGATACAAATAAACGAAAGGGACATAGATCATGATAGAGGAATACTGAATTTAAGGCGTTGAAATAAACGTGTACAGTTGTAAACGCCTTGGGTCCAGAACTAGAAAGACATCATCCATACATTCATACTAAATTGTCGACCAAAAAAAAATATATCCCCC